AGCCCTTAAACTTAGATGTGACCTATTGCAATCTCTTTCATCTGTAAAATAAATTTACCCAGGTAACCTGGAGAGACCAAGACCAGCTGGCACATCCTTTAGATCTCAATCAGTATATTAACTTTCATTTTTTCCCTCTAAAAATGTTGTATGGTTTTGTCCAGATTGAATGATGGACAAATCCATTTATGATATTTAGGGTGGTAAGTGATAACAGAATATTATGCAATAAATTTCAATATGACATCTACTTGACTTATCATAACTTTCTATATACAATGTCAATAGCAATGTCCCCTACTGCAGTCTGTATAAACTTTTCCAAGATAAAACCCCACTAATATTGAATGTATTTTACATCTTTTTTTTTTACAATAAAAACCTGAGAAAAAAGGACAAAAGGTGTACTTTGCAAGTTCATGCAACATCACTAGGGTGAAAACTGCACTAAAGGTATAAAGGAAAGCATCAATGATTAATGAAAAGACATCAGCTGTTTTCCAGCTTGAATAGATTATAAATTTATAAACCCAGGTTCTTCCAATGTAATTTTAACTGGAATTTTAGCAAGTACAATTCATGCAAGTATAAGGCTTTAAAATTTTAGCCATCACTTTATTCAACCCCCCCCCCCCCTTCGCTGTTGTTGCTTTTCCCAAAACATAAGTACAGTGTTTGATAACCAGAGTTCTTCTGCAACCATAAAATTTATACATACCTTATATATATATATTTATTTATAATCCTTCCACTATGTTTAATCCCTCGGTAAAGTGTCTCTATATTACTATCAGCGTACAAAATCCATCAGAGTCAAAACTCTTAAGAATAAAAAATCCATGATCATTACTGAAATTATTTCGCGAAATAATAACCAAAAGTGTCTCTTTACCCTTTAATCCATGTTTTCAAATAAAACACACACTTATATCCCGATTGCTGCAGTATCGGAGAAACTAATCCTGGTGTTTTTACACCATATAGAGAACTGCAATACGGCTCTTCCGTCTACCAATTTTAAACCAATACAATAATCGTGCGACCACATAAAGAAATAAACCTCTTTAATACTTGATAAAACCTTGTCAATAATAACGGATATTTTACAATATACCCCACTTGCTTTTCTAACATTACTACATAACTTAATCTTTTCCTCTCTTCTTTTTTTTTGACATTTTATGAATCGAATTAACACTGAATATTTTTCTCTTCAGATAAGTGCCCCCTACTCCACCTTAAGTATTTTAAACATTGCGTTAAAGACGTGCCATGCTTTTGAGTCGAGATGACACATTTGATTCACGTTTTACTAATTAAAATAGAGATTATTATCAGTTTTTTTTTCATATTCACAATACAGTATGGACAATCTTGTTGAAAGAAAGTCTTCTGAATATGTTTTATAACTTGATTTATGATTTTTATCAACCCTACGTCTTGTCTCACAACAAACATTTATAAGTACTTCTATAAGTACGATTTGGATCCATTTCTAGTGCAAGCATGTTTGAAAGATCATTCATCTGTACATTTGGATTCATTCTGACAACATCCAATGACCAGAGGTTTGGTTTGACTTCAATTGTCTCAGTATATTAGAACTCATAATTCGATGACCTATCATTCATTTTCCTATGAAAACATTTTTTCTTTAAATCTACAACTGTCAATTTCAGAGATTTCTTTACTTTGCATGTGACAATATTGAGAATCTTTTTCTCTTTTTTTTAACATTTCATCAAAATATACTCATGCATATTGCAGTTAAATACGTTTTTATGATCATTAGTACTATAAAACAATTTTTTTTTTTGTATTTCAAGTTTTACAACAATCATTTATGAGTTATGGCCCATGTTTCTCCTTTGTATATCTACTCAAACAACCTGATACATGTTCAGATATTATAATTTATTGCCGACAAACTTAATGTCAGATGATATAACGAGACCCTCGCTTTGCACAACCATACGGAAACATGATCATCTTAAACATTGTCAATAATTCATCTTTCAAAACTTGAATACTTGTGGTAAAAAGTTACAAGAAATAATAACAAACAAGAAAACAAGGCTTACAATGGTTGTGTATGTTTGATGAAATAGATATGCAAGACTGGTTGTTTTTTTTATTAACCGAAGGCAGAGTTTGAAGGGGCCACCAGCATTGTATCACACTTTTGAATCAGTGTTCTTTCACAGGAAAATTGTACATCAAAATTCTAAATTTTGCGATTTTTTTCTTTCTTCAAATCTATCCGATATGTAACTAAAACAAAAAAATAAACATACTTGACATATCAATTTGGGTTGGTGGTTTTTTCTTTCTTAAAACTCAGCTTTAGTGTTTGCTATTTTTTCCCAGGCTATTGAACGTAATAGGTAGTAATAATTGGGTTTTTAAAATGTGATGATCAAAATGTTCACATGAATCAAATCATAAATTAGATATGAGATATCATAATAAATTCTCCTAAATATCCCACTCCAAAATCAAAAAGATTCCTATGTTAAAAGTTATCATGATTTTGTCATAGAGCCCTTATAATTATATACGAAGTACATCAAAAAGGTGTGCAATTAATAATAATAACAACTTGTATTGAAGAGTACAAAGCCTTAAAAAAGCAAAAAAATAATTTGCCAATATAAATGCCAAAACTTTATGAAACATCTAAAATGGACATTCTTTAAACAAAAACATCATTATCTGTTTTATACAACAAACTTTTAGATAAAACAAACTGGGAAGGAACAGCTAATATAATCAAAGCACAGAAGGCGCTGAATTTGTTTGGGTCTCAGAATGTAAGAAAGGTGCAGGTTGTGAGATTACATGTTTAGTGCCACCAATGCTTTCCAGCGTTTTAATTGTAGTAAATTGGCTATTAGACTAATTGCAACACTGATATTCAATCCAATGTTTATTTGACTTTAACAATTTAAAAAAATGAGTAACCTTTACTGGGATTTGAACTCCAGACCTCTCGCTTCCTAAGCGAGCCCGAAAACCCTTCAGCCACGGTGAATTTATATGTGAACGGCCTGAAGAAAACCATATTATTCTAAATTAGGGCTTGTAACGACTTTAACTGTTGTTTAACACAGATGTAAATAATCCTGGAGCTTACTATAAGCATGTATATTTATAAAGAATCAAACGGCTGCAAGTTCTGTGGTATTTTCTGATCTTTGCAATCGTACTGTATATCTGTATGCATTTTCCTGTATAAGTTTATTTTTATGTATTATAATTCCTTTTGTAAGGCACCAGAGTTTGATACATCCGTAATTCTGCATAACTAGAGTTGCATCAAAAAATCATTTATGTCCTTTTTTTACGACAGCCACACTTTATCTTTGTATATCATGGCTACTTCCTTAACAAAAACACTTAAAAAAAAGAATTTAACAAAAAAAAAAGTTTTCTCGACTTGGATACGAACTCGAGACCTCTCACTCACGAGGCGAGCGCGTTACCCTTGTACCACGGAAAAGTTATACACAGTGTGTCTGAATAATATCAAATCATTCTAAATTTGGAACTTCCACTGCAGTTCGGGTTTGTAATCCTTATTAATTTCGAGGTATTTTGTTTAGGCTAAACCTGTTGTTTATAATTGAAGTAGATATTTTAGCAAAAATCCTCTCGCCCAAAGGGTCCGGCATGTAGAATCTATATATTCCACTACTCGGTTTGTGTAGTATTCGGTAATCAACATGGCTAAAAATAGTATTTTCATTGATAAAATCATATTCATCCGCGTAATTTGTGATTGTGCATTTATTGACAATTCTATAAGCCAACGCTATTGTTTAACTTTAAATGGGTTGTAATTTGTTGGATACTTGTAACAAAATAAAATATTTCTTTCTTTTAAATCGCTAGTTTTTAGCTGTTTTGAGAACTACTTGTTGTTAGGTTTGTAGTAAACTTCTGTGTCAGAGATTGACGACCCAAACAAATAAAAACAGCACTTAACACGTGGCGGCTTCCATCAAAATCCTGCTGGCGTCCAAAACCAACAACCAGCATCTTCATGGTTCAATAAGAATTATGATAAAAATCTACCTCCTTACTGAAGAGTCATCAAATTCAAAGTAACAAAAAATCTACCTCCTTACTGAAGATTCATTTCAGTTCAAAGAATAAAAAAAAAATTGCTTCCAGAATGAAGAGTTTCAAAGTTCAAAGTGATTTTTATCTATGTTTGAGAGACATGTCGTTTGTTGAAATCATCTGATCAAATAAACCTGGAAAATGCCGTAACATTTTTATCCTAATTAAAAATCTAACACAACTTGTCCCGACCAGGTAAATATCTCAAAGATTACAATCTACAAATTGCGAACAGAAGTTTTTTCTAGATTTTGTGGGTAAATTTTGTAATTCACCAAGTTCCATCTCTTAAAAAACAACATGGAGATAATGGTGCAACTTTGATAAGACCTCAAATAACATGACAAATGTTCTTACAATCTCCTATACTCTCTAAGCACCTGTTTTAAAAGGATTATTAACTTGAACTGGCATCTAGAAGCTGTAACTTTAATTATATTTAAGTACTCATAAAGCATGCTGGATATTAATTAGAGCCAAGATAATCTCACAAATGAGATTCTAGTTAATTAAACCAAGGCTCATATAAAAATGTCAACTTATATAACCATTAAATATATTAAGACCAAAAATCTTCAAAGTATCAAACAGCAAACATGCGTACATTTTTGTAATACCAGTATAGAGCCTAGTCAGAGGTCACAGAGGTGCAAGCTGGCCTCAGGCTCTCCAAGCAAAGATGCCACTTGCATCTGAAGAGGTAAAATGCTTCTACAGACAGGTCAGGAAAATTCAACAGGCCCCCCTTCTCAACCCCACCAGTTGTAATACCTAATGTGTGTGAGATGCACAGATCTCTCATGAATTGAAACAAACTGAATCACACTTTTCTAATATATCTATATACACAAAATTTGATGATCGTTCAAAATTCGTACCTGATATGTGGACCATTGGTTGCACCAATTTTTCTGGGCGATTGTGGTGGAAGATTTACAGATCCTATCAAATTTGGTATATTAGTTGTTGTTGACGACTCACACTGGGCCTGTTGAATACTCTGTACCATACTAACAGCTTCTTGTTTTAACTGGGTCACGTGCGTATCACATACTTCACAGCTTCCTGCACGTGAAAATCTATATCCATTCTCTGGTACTTGTAATTTGTCTTTGAAACTTTCTATAGAGTCAACAGGCTGAAAAAAACAATTAACAACTTTGACAAGTCTGGTAATTTAACAATTCATTTGACAAAAAGAATGTGAGAAAATCTGCAGAAAATTTTGTACCTAATTTTATCATATACCAACCTGACAAAAAAGGGAATTTTTTACTTTGCAAACTGCCTAGACCCATAGTACCCAAAATATAAGTAATGTGCATAATCAGTTCTCTCCAAAAAATTTATTTCAGCAATGGAAGATTTTAAATCAGTTGAAAAATCAAGGGATTTCCAGATCTCATTTCAGCGGTTGACACTTAAGAGTCGGGGCTGATTGGTGGTATATGCCAGTCATAATTCAGAAACTCAACTAATTAATATCATTTATAGCTGCATGGGTTAAAACCCTGTCAGGTACAAGGTGTTGTTTCATTGCGCTCATTGCTCATTACAGGTTGGTTCCCGGAATGGATTCAAAACTGTGTCTATAAGCTTACAGCTTCCTTTACAATCAAATTAAAATAAATTCTGTATCAACTAACTTATAAAAAGCAATAATGAAAAAAAACTGCGTAACAGTAGAATTTACTTTTGAAGAACTTGTTGGTGATCATACAAGTAAATTATAAAATGTTTTCACTACTTGGTGTTTATATAATCTCTGAAAAAGTAGGCATAATCTAATAACTCATGGACTAGGGGAAAAAAACTTTCTCGTTTTCACACTAACTACTGTATTTCTAATACTATTGAAGTCATTTGTAGCCCATTATATTTATGCTATAAATCAAAAACGCTCAGTAAAAATCTATACAAGTGTATCATATTTTAGAGTTAAAAGGAGAAACAATGTTGTTACCCTGTTGAAGTTCAGTCAATCACTGATACATTGATGAAACAAGATCAGCAATAAATCATGTTTTATTTATGAGAAAATAAAGGCCTTAAAACAACTGAAATTTTAAAATAGGTCACTGTTTTCAAGCTGAAGTCTAAAGTGCTTCAAAATGACAGCAAATTTGAGACAAGCTTACACAAAATTTAAAAACAACTCTGACATTCAAAATGACATTGGAGATGATTTGTACTAAAATTGTGATGCTTTTACATAGAAAATACAGATGTTTTTTGTGTTTGTTTTTTTTAATTTAAAATGCAGATGGTTATTCATTGAAAATACAGATGATTTTACATTGAAAATACAGATGGTTTTATATTGAAAATACAGATGGTTTTACATAGAGAAAAAATTACAGATGGTTTTACATTGAAAATACAGATGGTTTTACATTGAAAATACAGAGGCTTTAAATTGAAAATACAGATGGTTCTATATTGAAAATAAGTGCTTTTATATTGCAAATACAGGAGATTTATATTAAAATTAAGGTGGCTTATATTGAAATTTAGGTGTTTTATATTGAAATATTAATATTTGGTAGTTTTTATTATGAAAGAGTTGATGTGTATTATAAAGATAGGTGGTTAGTCAAATGTGAGCTGTTTATACACAAAAAAAGCAGTGCTTTATATGGAGATTGGGCCGACTCAAGATGTTGAACAAATTTTAAACAAATATAAGCATTTCAATTTGTCAATGTTAGCTTTTAGTTTGTACCTGAGTTTGCTATTGGACTTCTGTTCATAAATGACTAGGTCAATACTTATCTAAACTAGATTCTAAACATGTGCTGATCATTGGCAATAATAATTGTTCACTGAACACATAGACAAATAGAAAAAATAGATAAATCATCATATAAATGACTTTAACATTGCTCTATCACACCCCTACTTTACAAACAGAATTCCGGACATTTCATTACATAAGCACCTTTCAATTCCATATTCAGTAGTAATCAGAACTTTGGTTTCCTGTTTAATCAGCAAAAAAGAAAACAAAGGCAATGAAATGACTTGCTCTTTTTACAATTGGAACAATTACTGTCTATAGACATGCGAGAACCAATGCAAAATTGATTAAGTCAACAATTCTACACACATAAGCCATACAAAAGTATTTGATCTTGCTCTGGTGTACCTCACTGGCTTTTGTGTTAGTCCCCACATTAAATTACCTAATGGCTTCTGTCAAACATCTTTTATAGTATGGAAAGAATTTTATCTCACTAAAGTTGATTGATTGGTTAATATTGAATGAGACACTGAAAAACTTTGCATAACTGCACAATCATTAAGCTGTTAAATAAAGTTGACAAGTAAGTATACCTGAGTATAGCTTAACTGTATAACAGCTGTCGAGTTGGCAAGTGGTTAATATACCAAGGTATTGAAAAATAGCTGTTAAGTTGACAGAAGTAAGAGCCAAAGTACAGCATGTTGTAAAATTGGCAAGCTATAATATCCCAAGCATAGTGCTATTGCTTAAAAGCTGTTAAGTTGACAAATAGTTATAACTGAGTATAGCATAACTGTACAACAGCTGTCAAGTTGGCAAGTGGTTATACCTAGTAAGTACTGCAAAATAGCTCTTAAGTTGACAGAAGGTGTTATGTATCACAACTGAACAATGGCTTTTAAATTGTAAAGGTATATATAGGTATTGCCCAATTATAAGTGTACCTATTTTATGTGTATTAGAGGACATAACAGCTGTTAAGTTTATTGTATATCAGAGCATCATAATCACAGGAAAGATGTGAACTGTCAAGTACTTGGTCCCAGCTGATCTCTATTGTTTTTAACCTATGATCTGTTGAATTTCTCTTACAGACTTGTCCAGAATCCATTTTTGGAACTGTCCATTATCAACATGCTGACTTGTCTCTAAAATATCAATTTTGGTTCAAGCAATTTTTAGGTAAAGGATTAAGCTGGCCAAGTACAAGAGCATTACAACTTAACAAATAGCTTGTTAAACCCTTTGATTTTATTATGATTATTGAAAAAAAAAACTACAACTAAATAATCTTCCTGTTTAAATAAAAACAGTGAAAAGTGTTTTGATATCTTAGCTATATAGATATTTCAGATAAATGCTTTGACTAATAAGCAAAATAAAATTTAATGATACCTGAGAAAAGGGCTATCGTGTTTCCAAAATGTAGTATTTATGCGATCAAATTTACATAATTGCATTTTATAGAGATATAACTTTAAGATCCGATACTGATAGCCACTTAAATAATCTGCTATATCAATACAACAGATAGCAATTACGACGTTTTTTTTTTTCATTTAATGAAACGCAAGAGATGAATGGACGCTATTTACAGGAATGTTTACAAATGTGTCATTCTTTTTCTTTAAACGATTTTTTTTTAGATTCCAATTTAATAGCATTTAAATAAATAAATGGAATATTCAATATAACTAAACAAAGCATGTAATTTAATGCTTAATTTAAGGTATCGAATATCAAAAGGAATGTTTGAGAAATTTTTTTATCCATGTCAAAATTACACTTATTTAGACAAATTAATCTATGCTTCATTATTAATTCTGACAAAGAATTTTATAAATGTTGATTAATAATAAATGAAATTATGATAAGTAAAATGAATCATTTCCTATGAATAAAATACTTCTGTGACTTACATTTCATAGTTAATCTTTCTTAATCAGTATTAGCACAGTCATAATCCGCTAAAAATAAATCCAATGTGTTTTTCAATGCATTTTTAAAAAATAATATCCCACACTAGTTTATATCATAATCACACATAATACTGACAGCAGCTTATGATCAAATTTATCCTGAAGTTTTGTGATTCTTGTTACAATAAAAGAGAGTAAATTATTGAATCGCACCTTCTTTTTTTCAAGCAACTCCACCTAATAACCTTGGCTTATCTTTTTAATACATCACCTATCCCTTATCATCAAAAAAAATACAACTCTGAGACTTAGATTAACCAATTGTAACTAGAATTGTAAATCTTAAATTCTAACGCGTATGCTGTTTTTTTTGTCTTTTATTTAAAGGTGTCAAAGAATGTACCAGTTTCAAAAAACAAATCAGCGTTAAATAAACTTTAATCTCTGTATAATGACCACAGCCTGTTCCATGTTGACAAACAACATTAATTCAACAATACCTATATTTCTATTACAGTACAATGTTATTCCAGTAGCAAGCTGTCGTATTTTAAATATTTACATTTCAACTTGTCGAGGACTTCTCTCAAACAGTGTTAATCCTCTTACGTCCACTTAATGTCCACTCCGTCCACTCTTATACCAATGTTTGTCCACTTTTCTCACACTAGTACAGTAATGAAAACTTTCACGGCATAGAATTTATAACTTATCAGATTGGTATGTTAGTACAGTCACCAGATGGGATTACTGTGCTATTATATTAAAACAAATACAGGACATCTTTACTTTAGTCCCTCTGATATCATTAAACCCTTGATGTCTTGTTAACATCACAAAATTGCAAATGACTTTGTAGTTATACATTTTGAACTGCAAATTTTCGCTTTAAACGAATAATAACCTTAAATCCGTTCTGGAAACATAACTGGTTAGCTAAGAGCAAGGCCCGTTCGGCATGGCACATCCTTGCAGTCTGACCAAGATCCATTCTGTTGGCTGTGTAACTTTAGATTTTCATCTTGATATATAACAAAGTCATCTGGACAAGAATTAAAAGTCTAATCAACTCTTTTAAAAGTACTGAAATTTTGCAATTTTGCAACTCATCCTGCTTTCAATGGGGGAGTTTCCCACACTCTACTGATAAGCGGAAGTAGTAAATAAGAGGTATACAAACTACGGTCACTTGATGTAAACACAGAGATTAATAGAAAGTTTCTGAGTATTGTGTCTGGTCAGTTGTTAAATTAAAGAATTAATTAATTACCAAAGGGTTTCAGCAGCAGGAATAAAAGAAGATTTTATTATTTAATATTAAGCTAATCATATTTAACAAATTGAATATATTACATTAAATCTTAAACATATAAACGGCTTTTTTTCAAGTGTACAAGTGTACTATGTAGACTGAATAACAGTATGAAAATGATCTTGGAGAAATAATCAACACTTTCCTGTTAACACTTTTAAAAT